ATTAATTATGTTAATAAAAAATATATTATTAACAATTTTATTCCTTTAAATTAAAATATATTATAAAATCTATTTTTTCTGTAATTATCATATTAACTTATGTCTTTTTTTTAATAATTTGTATATATAAAAAATATAATAACAACTATTCAAACATTCTCACTTCTTAAAGTTATTTTTTCATAAAATCTATTCTTTTTAAAATCTATTTTTCTCAGAATTTATTCTTCTTAAAATCTATTCTCCATAATCACTTTTTCAAAAATTTGGTTTTATCTAAATACACCCACGGAGGAGAAAGTAAGATAAAGAGAAAGAAAGAGCAATGTACCTGACAGATATCGCAGAGAGGAGAGGAATTAGAGGAAGGGTGATGAAGAGAGAAGCGAGAATGTTTGCGAGAGAGCTTGTTGGCATGGTGGATGGTACGATCACAGGCGCAGCAGAGAGCAGCTTCGTCGGAGGGACAGAAGACAGAGGCCTCCGCTCTGTCACACACATCGCACAGTATCTTCATTTCTCTGTGAATCTCTCTCTCTCTCTCTCAAGGAGGAGAAAGAGATGGTATTTTGAGATGGGAAGCAAGCGAAAGAGGGAATGAGGACGAGGGACTTATGGGCGCTTATTAGGCTCCAGGGACTAGGGGTCCACAGAGAACAGCTAGAACTCTTTATTATTCATTCACTTTTTCTGACTATCAAGGCTATGCACCGGCCCATGTCCTAACCTTTGCTTCATATAAAACACATTTCTAATTTGACATCTTTTATTGACCCTAGTTACCCCTTGCCGCAGTTGTTTTATGATTTTATCTTTAAAGTGGCTCATTTGTATTTGCATGAAGTTTTTACGTGAGTTGTACTATTTGTACTAAATATAGCTTTATTGTTTATTGTACGAGAATTTGATACTAAATGTATTATTTTTCTTAATCTAAAGGATTATTTAGAAACTATGAAAAATACACCAAAAAAATTCAAGCAAATTGAAATACAATTTTTTTCCCTATTTATCTTGGTCTCCGTAAAATTATTTTAAAAAAAAAAAAAACCAATACGAACACTTTTTAAGTCATGCATTGTTAGAAGATCTCTTAAGAATGTTTTCGTTTTTGGGGAAATTTATAGTTTAAGTATATATTATTATTCGAACTGTGTGTGTTTATTTGAGTAATTAAATGGGAGCTTTCGAAGTTGGAGTCTTGGAGAGTCTTTGGACCATGGGTTGTTACATTCAAGTTCTAGAGAAAAGGGTTTCGCACTTTCGCTTTCATTCTGAGTGTGTCTCTGTCTGAATCTGAATTCTGAAGAGTGAAGCCCGGGCTCTGATTCTGAACTCGGGAGGCATGGCCCCGCATTTATCTTCGCATCAATTAATCTAAACTTTAAGCACTTTCAAAAGTTTTGCAGTTGAAGTCATACCGTGGGACACAACAGCATCGTAAGATTTTTTATTTGTTTGTTTGTTTGTTTTTATTTATCATATATGCAATTATTTTGCTAGGAAGGATGATGTGGTTAAGTCTTTTATTTTATTTTCTTTCTTGCGTTATATTTTTATAAACAAATTAAGAATACGAAGAATGAGAAGAAGAAAAGAGAAACTGAAAATTACAAATCCCAAATCAGGTTTAGTAATATAACTTTATTTGGTATTGACAAATTTGAATTTATAAATGATAATAAATTTTTATTGATATTCCTTGTCTAACATTTATAAAATTTTAATTTTTTTTGGGGTCATTTTCTCTTAAGAATATTCTTTTTCCCAGAAAATATAAGGCCCCCCAGCCCACAAAAAAAGCCGTGCAAGAAAAACGATAATGGGTGGGACCGTGGGTGGAAACGGGATATTCAAAATTCTTCATGCATTGAAATGAATGTGTTTGGTGATAGGTGCACCTAATTTAGTAAATGATCACGTTAGATGTAATAATTTTTTGCAAATATAACATATAATATTTTTTTTTCAAAACAAAAAAGATTATATGCCCTATTTTTTTTTTCCAGACACAGGCATTCTCAGGCAGTAAATATGAACACACAAATCATAGATAGCCAATTCTATTTTTGACCAATCTTTTGGTTGAAATTTGATCTCATTTGTAAAGACTCAGATTTCGTGCATTAATAATTTTTCTTAAATTGATCCTTCCTAAATTCATTTATCAAATATTATCTGCATATCAACAGAGCAATAAGAGACATTAATAACTGGAATAAATTAAAAAAAGAGAGGCTGCTATTGCACTCGATGAGTCCCGGTTCAATTCATGACTGGGATCCTATATTGATACGGGACATGATTTTAAAAGTTATCTTTTCTTTTCCTTGCGTCCTCTATGAATGACACAAACAACTGGGTGCATAATTTTTTAGTCCTGATAGCTATATAATTCTTCTAATTTTTCTGCCTTTTTTCGGGTCTTCTGATTTTATTAAAAAAATAAAAAGAGGTCGTTGGAGGGCTTGTCCTTATTGGGGTTATAAAAGCGTGTTTGGGATCACGTTTGGAGGCTCAAACGTGCATCCCAATCAGAAAAGTAACAGGTAGATTGAAAAATGATGTTTGGATTCATGTTTTGTGCATCTGATTTCTGCCGCTGAAACAAACTTATGCAATAAGTTTAAAGAAGTTGTTTTTACTCAATCTGATTTCTGTAAAAGTCAGATTAGAAAAAAGTTACTCCCTCCGTTTCTTATTATAAGAGACGAATAACCGAATTACGTTGTTCAAAAAAACAGTTAAAATTAGTTAAGAACAATCAATGTGTAAAAAATATAATTTTTTTTCAAAAAATACCCTCATTAATAAGGAGAGAGAGCATGAAAGAGAACAATGGTAAATTATTAAAAGAAAGAGAAGTGGAAAGGAGAGAGAGAGTGTGAGTTGGAGACAATAAATATGGGTAAAATAGGAAATCAATATAAAAAAGTAGAGACAACTTTTAAGTGTCTCTTATAAATAGGAACATGTCATAAGCATCAAATGTCTCTTATAATAAAAAACGGAGGGAATACTTCTATCACAACTATCTCAAACACACTCACTGTTTCGGCGAAACGTGGGATTATCGTTGGCATACAAAGAAGGGAGTTAAGCAAAGGTCTGTGTCAAGGTACCCAAGTGGGACCAAAGCTGATCAAAGTGTAATAATAACAAATCTTATCTTACTACTAGATAGGATTGGTTATATGAAATACACCACACATAATGCTTAAAGTTGATCAAAGTGCAAGAACCAAAATAAAAAAATTGGACGTATATACAAGACGACAAGAAAATACTTTCTCAGAAGGAGTCACACATATATTGGCGTGTTGGCAGAATCTTTGAAGGAAACATTTGAGAGATTTTGCAAGCTGTCAGCATGAAAAAGGTGAGAAAGGAACAATGAACCTTAATATCTGATTTATTTTATGAATTTCATGTACACCCACATGGATGGGGATTTTGAAACGACCAATTGTACACTTTTTTCACAGATGTGCATCGCTCATAATTTCCCTGCCATGTGGTAGGCCACTTAGCTTCTGGCTTGTAACTTCAGCGGAAGTACCTTATGATTAGATTGTGGACGCTGGGGAGAGAACCAAAATATCATAGAGATTTAATTAATAACCTGATACTAATATTTTCGAAAGCATTTAATTGGGCAAGCACCAGAGTAAATATCGGTTGGTGTGTAATTTGTTCTATGCTGGATACTAATATTTTCGAAATGGGAATATTCATGAACCATTTAACATGATAATTTAGCTGACGAATATATGACTCATACCTCATAAGAATAAGGATTTTATATTATTATTTTTTATCTTTAATATAAGAACTAATTAGCTACTTTGAGCATATTAAGAAAATTAATTTAGTTATTTGTAATAAATATACATTGTTTTTCTTAAAATATTTCTACTAATTAAGTGTATTGGTTAGAACTACTATTATTATAAAGATTATATTAAAAAAAAGGATAAATATGTGGGACAAAATAAATTTATATCTTATATTTAAAGTTAAAATAAAAATTAAACTAATTTTTATATTAAAAACTGAGGAGAGACTTTTTTAGGTAGATAATTTGGAAATATCCATCAATCTTCATCTAATTCAAAGCTTCCAGTGCAAGAAACATGCTTGTACTCTGTTTGCTATTTCCTACTGCGTACTTCACATGGACCCAAGACCACGGAAGGCAGCCTCACTCTGGTATGAAAATTTTGATCTCCTCAGAGACGTGGAATTGTGGATTATTCAAGTTTTGCTTTCAAATGTATTCCATCATTTATATTATTTCAGGTCATTTTATTGGAATATATTATTTCTTAATTATAAAATGATACTGAAGTGAGCATGTGCATTTTTGTTTAATATATTTTATTTTAGAGATAAATATTAATTTTAGGCTCTGAACTCTTTCTCAATTGTTAATCTAGTTTTTGAATTTTGACTTACTATATAACTTAATCCCTATAGTTTTTTTTTTCTTAGGAAACTTATAGTTTATTAAATTAAGGAATTATAGTTTGACCCAAAAAAAAGAATTAAGGAATTATAGAAATGGGGATGTATTGAGAAAACAAATATAAAGATTGAGTTACTATAAGTAACGCGAGTTCTCATCACTGACTTCAAGTTGAGTTGGTTCTTAACAAAATTTAATTAGAGGGATATATTAAATAAGATAAAAAAAATTAAGAAATTTAGAATCCATTTTTATAGTGGAGGAAAATAAATTGATCACCTTGGTAGAAAAGTGCCGGACCCTATTCAACATAGGCTTCCATTTTCGGGCCAAAAATGGGCTCCACTGTATGTTTGCGGAATTTTACTACGTCTTATTGGGCCCAGTTTTCCCCGGTGGGCCTCCTGACAAAGTCGGAGTTTATTATACCAATAATTCCCCTTGCCGGTATGCCAAAAAAAAGAAAGGAGAAGAAGAAGAAGAAGAATTTAAAAAGAAAAACGTGAAAAAAAAAAAATATTGTAAGAACATACTTTCAGATGAAGGCATATCTCGGAGATTTGGTTGCGCGACCTTGAACGGTCATTAGAGTGTCTCCCGCCAAGCCATACAGTCACAGTTCTTACAGCTTTAACTTCCACAATGGCTGCATTCACTGTCAATACTTCTGCTTCTCCTTATCTTATTGGACGTCGTTGCTTCCCTACTCCCTCGCGTTCCACACATCTCCAGGTACTTCAGGATCAATTACATCGGATTTTTATCGTGTTCTGCTCTTGGTGAGGGTGGAACGTAATTTTATACAATATATGTTTTTCTTTGATTCTTGGTGGTTGAGACCAAGCAGAATTCATATATACGGATTCCTTGTCCATAATTGTGTATTTATTTGTTGTTTACCGCAAGCAATTTGTGGCTTTTTCTTTCCTTGGTTTGCTCTATTCTGAGGGAACCTTCAAGTAATTCTGCTAATCCTATATCCTTCTCCAAATTCAGGGTTCATTGGCTCAGCGTTGCAATGCTATTTTCTGGATGCAGAGGCTAAGATCGTTTCCTTTGAATCGTAGAAGGAGGTAATATCCGTAGCTTGAAACTTGGTTCCCGTAATAACTTGACTGGTTTACTTGCTAGCGTCTACTCTTATTGCACTTGAGTTGCTAAATCAAATAAGTCTCATGTATGGTTTATTTTAATTTCCAGTGTTTTTTGCGCAGTCATCATATTGACAACGGGACCGTTGGTAAATTTACGTGTTTGGATCTAAAACAGGAAAACTTTGATATGTGCAGTCGATCAAGATGCTGAGGAAGCCTTCAAGAAGACTGTGGAAATTGATAGGCTCATAGATATGCTGAGGGAGTCAGATCCTCAGAAAGTAAGAGCGTAGATATCAAAATTTTCCCCAGCCTTCCTTTCCATATTTTCCTTACTTTTGGTAATTATTTTTAACCACGCGGATAACGGTTTGTGGTTTGTCTGTGATTCTGCTATAATCGCCCCCTCCCATATAATATATCTTAATTCGTTAACTGGCTATCAAATTTAACGCCTTTACTTAGCATGCATGGAAGGCTAGTTTGTTTGTTCTTTGCATCATATTGGCGATGCAATTTTGTGTTCATGCGTGAACGAGATTATACATGGTGTTATTCCATTCACTCAGAACCACAAGCATTTTTAGTTTTTTTACTCAATTTTACTCTATAATTCTTTTAAATGACAATATTGCTTCTTTTTTTTCCTCCGTAAACAGCTTCAGAAACTTGTTGTTGAAAATATCCTTGCTTTCAATCCAAGCTTTTGGATCCGCCTTGCAGCAAGAACTGATACTTGCAAATCTGAGGATGATAAGGCAGGGTTTTTAATTTCTTAGAATGTTTCTTTATTCAGTGTCTTTATAGTCATGCCATTTAGTAAAAGTTGCTTTTATTTATTGTGAATACGCAGAAAGATTATGAGGAGTTGGCTTTAACTGTGATGACCGTGGTGGATCGATTGGTTCACAAGACCAATGTACTTTCTTACCTCCGTTAACCTTGTAGCCACGCTTGTTTATTCTCTTTGATGCTTCTTTTAATACTAATCCTTGTGTAATTTGACTCAGCAAAAAATAGAGTCTGCTACAGATGTCCTCAAGGGAGTACTAAAGCCTGTGGTTGATGATGTTGTTGAAGAGATTCCCTGGCCTCCCAGAGATCCTCAGGCCCTCGCATTGATGGAAAAAGTAAGCTTCTCACTTTCTCTCTGAACTGAGAGTGACCTGTGTTATTGTACAATGGGATATCTTATACCCTTCAAAATTAGGCTGTTTTTCTGCGCATCCGTTGAGTGAAGAAACTAGTTGCGATAACCCAACACTAATCTTAATAATTAAATTACTCATTTGACTATAACACGTAGATATCTGACTAGATTTATGCAAAATCTCAACAAATGTCATATCTTTTAATCGTCATTCAGTGGGCTGAAATATGCATGAGCTGCTCTTGAAGATCAGTGATCCACTATCAGTTATCGGAAACTGAATGCGATAAAGACTGAAAGTAGTTATCAATAATAAAGAACATTAGAGTAATCAAAGCACTCTTTTCTGAAGTAAACATAAATGAATCTCGCATCATCTTGTCTTTTCTGAAGGCAAAAGTGACAAACTTCATGCAGATGAGTATATTTTGTTTCAAGAGCATGTATGTTGGTCTGTTGTACTCAAACATATATTCTTTCAACCAGTCCGATCAATTTTTCAACTTACAAGTTCAAATAATTAGGAAATAAGTCAAAGGGAGCAAGAAGGACAATTGGACGAAGGATTTCTTGCGGAAGTTAGTGCGCAACTAAGACAGGTAAATCTCTTTTACTGCTTTTTATTTAGACAGCAGTGAATTCATGGGAACAATATTATTATGTTGACCAGCCATATATTAAAAATACATCGTGTATGTGGTATCAGAAATTTGAATAAGTTTCCAAAGTTTCTTTCCTAGAGCACTCAACTGCTTAGATTTTGATGGCCAAAAGGGGAGGGGTAGAACTGCTTAGGTTTCTTTTTCAGTTTTTCCTGCATTTATATTCGCATTATTATTACTTAATTTTCTTATAAATTTTCAGTTTTATTAAAATAACCCTCGTCTGTTCTTTGTGTAAATGCAGCAACTTTTGCTTTACTGACATATATATATATATATATATATATTATGTTTACATTAGTTTCCTTTTTGAGCCTCATTTGATGTACTCAATACTCCAATAGTATTAATATTATCTTTTCCTTTTTCCTACACTGCGCAGGCAAAAGAAGATGGAGATAAGCCCGGGCTGGAGGCTATGCTGCAGAAGGTTTTACAGCTCTATGCTTCCAAGGTTCTCTCGAAACGTAGTTATGCCAATAAAGGTATGTTTTATGTGCTGATGCATCACAATTATCACAGGAATTTATGTCCAACGAGATGAGTATATGCTTTTGGAATCGTGATCCTACTTGAGAACTTGGCATGTACTTAGCTTATTGCAGGATTATGACGGTGACGGGATTTATATTTAGAGGAATTAGTTAAACAACATGAAAATATCTCGTGCAACAATTCCTATAGCATATACTTCCCTGGGAAGCATAAATTGACCTGAGTGAACAGGAGCAACATAGAGGACACTATATGGGGAAAAGCATGTCAAATTTAATGGGTCGTTAAGATTTTCATTATTTGCCATGTTTGAATAATTAAGTTTTATTGATCTTTGGTTTAAGTTGAGACTTCATTTTCTCCAAATTCTGTCTCTCTCTTTTCTGGTATCTGCTCTTCTCAAGTGCAAAGCATGAATTTTAATTTAATCTATTCATGTGATTGTCTATCTGACTACAGCATATCCTTGTCGCTTGATATAAATATTTAATCAAGTTATTACTAAGCTCTGCGTGCTCTTGTTGCAGGGGATGAAGTTTTGAAGGACGAGCAGTTCCTCGAAACTATAATCCAAGGTGTCTTCATCACCGCAGAGTGTCATGTCTTGGGAAATTATCTTATTTATATGATCAAGTGAAGGTTCCCAGGCTGGACTTCATTTTTAAAGAATCTCCTTTGATATATTTGAATTTCATTTAGGTTGATAAATTTGCAAGGTAAAATGAATTAAATCAATATGATATTATGAAAAGAATGGAAGGCACATTTTGGAGGGTCTCCTGACTGTGCCTGTGATGTAGAGTTGATTTTTGGTTAGATGAAAGACCTATGTAAAAGCTTTGTTGGAGAATAATATACTACCTCTGGTTCTTAATATGAGACCCAATTGACTAATTTAGAGAGATTAAATAAATTATTTTAAAGTATTGTATTACCAGCTAATTTACTCGGCTTATGGTTATATATATTCTAATTATACACATAATTACTTTTAAAAAGATTATGTAACATGTGCTATAATTAAGTAATTTTTTAACTTCTTTAATTTTCTCAAATTAGTCAACTAGGTTTTATATTAAGAACTGGAAATAGTATTAAATACACCAAATTTGTATATTTGCTGTTTCCTGCAGCTTCTGGTCATAGCCTCTTGATGATCAGAAATTTCATCACTATGAGCAGAGTATCTGGACTGATAACGAGCCCATTTTTATCCCCGGATGCAATTACATTAGTCCCATTGACCAATTATTGGTTTCTTGCAGCCCCTGAAGAAGAATGGAACAATATTCTGATCAAAGGGTTGACAATCGGCACAGGGGAAGTTTCACCTGAGGAACTCAATGCTGTCGTGAAAAAACGAATTGAGCGCACTTTGATTAGAACTGTGAGACAAAACCCTGCCTCTTGTCTGTAGATTTAATTGTTCTTTGTGTCTTTCTCTTCCTTTTAACTGATGTCGCTCCCTTGATTTGTCCATGAAAATCAAAGGAGGGAGGTTCTTACCAGCAGCGCATTCTAACAGAATATCTGAAAGGCATTGAATCTAGAGCTGAGGAAATTGTTCAAGCTTTTCAAGGGAAACGGCAATAGAGTTTTTTTCCATAGCTGAATATCAATTCGATGCCATTTATCTCGATAATATCCTGCTTCGTGCAAGAGGTGGTTCTCCCTTTTGTAGAGGATATAAAGCGAATCAACACTGGGCGCGCATGTAGAAGTTTAGACCAGCCGTCTTCTAGAAGGTAGTGACCTGCCCATATTGATTTGCCAATTAGTGTTATGAACAGGATCTGGTCACTTTTAGCTTGTAATATGTATATTTATATAGGAGCGGGCTGTGGGTTTAAACCATATCTCCTGGAACAAAACAAGTGATGTCTAATGTTGGAATCTGGCGATAAATTATTCCTCTTGTACAAGTCTCATTGCAAAGTTCCTACTCAATATTCGATAAATGATTTTTTTAACCAGTATGAATGGATGACTAATAGGGGAACAAAATAGATCAAATATAGTTTATTGTTGTTTAAAAAAAAAAATACTGACAGAAAGTAAGAAATTGCTCTGAAGAGCTGAAAAAACATTCTAACTCTAACAAGATAAGAAATTATTCGACAATTTCCGTTGATTAACTTTTTGATTGTGACTTATTCGCAATAAAAAGAGTGTTTAGTAATACACTTGTCTTTTAAACAATAAGTTTAATACTATCTCCGGTTTTAATTATAAGACCTCGTTTGTATTCGGCAAACGAGGTCTTATAATTAGGACTGAAGGTAGTATTAAAAATTATATCTATTACTACATTTTCTCCTTAATATAAGAGCTAATTGATTAATTTGAGTAAATTAAAAAATTATTTAAGTTAGTTATTTGTAATAAACAGATGTTTTTTTTAAAATATCCTTACTAATCAAGTGTATTAGCTAGAATTACTATTTGAAAAACCTTGAACATGTGCAATTACTATGGGACTACTTTGGCAAAAAAATGGATAAATACAAAAGACAAGACAGATTAGATATTATATTTAGAGCTAAATTGAAAGTTAAACTAGCTTTTATATTAAGGATAGGAAGTAGTATTAAGTATTTTAGTTCTATGCACCTAAATTGTTAAAAACATGATTGCGTTTATAACTTTTATCTTCTTTTTTTTTTGGGTTTGCTTATGTTTATAACTTTTATCTAAATAATACTCCTACAGTCTTTAATGTAAAACCTAATTAACTAATCTGAAAAGATTAATTATATTAGTTAAATTAGTTAATATGATATATTTTTTCTAAAATATTCTAAATATCTTTTTTAATTCCTTCTTTCCCTCTTCTACTTGATTGTTGTTGTGGAGATATTAATAAGGTTAATTTGAAAAAATTAACAATATATAGAATAGTCTTATATATAAGACTAATATTAATTCTTTAATTATGTCTTATATTAAAGACAGGATGAGTACTCTTTTGTTATTCTACAAATGTTCCAAACATTACAAAATGTATGTCCTCCTAATGCCATTTTTCAGCCATAAAAGTAGCAAGCTAAATACAAGTGATCATACATATTTTAATCAAGGTACCTAGCAGCGTCATAAAGTATTTATTTATTTAAATAAATTTTTATTAGAGCTAACTCTATTCGAGATATTGTTAGGTATTAAATATAGACACCCCTTTTAATAAGAATTCGAACTTTGATTTTACACAGAATAAGAAATTAGCCTTTCGACTATTGATACAGTTTTTTATCTATACTCAGACCTATCTATAATGTTTGAGGGACGCACATGTAACAAGGTCCAAAAAAAAAAAAGAAAGGAGGCACACATGAAACCATGAAACTTGTCATCAATAGCACCCCAAACTTGCTCTTGGAAGAAAAAAAATCCCCCTCCCCGAGCTGCTTCTTTTGAGCACGTTTGCAGAATTAAAGCGAGACTTGAGGAGGTAATCGGCTCTCTCTCGGCAATAAACTTGTTTTACTCTTCTACCCCGGCTTACTCTTTGTGTTGACCATTAAAAAATAAAAATAAAAAATAAAAAATTAAAGATATGTTCGGATTTACTTGGTCTCTGAATACTTAAACTACATAAAATGTATAATTTAATTTTCTTAAAATGCAGGGGCTGATAATATTTTAAAATAGTTAAACCAAAAGAACTAAATTTCATTGAGTTACTTAAAATTTAAGAATTAAATTATAACTGAATCGAGACTATAAAATGCAATTAAAAATAGATGAAAACTTCTTATTAGACCTGTTTAGAATTACTTATAAACAGTTTTTCAATTGTAATTTATAGAATACAGAATAAATATGTAAGAAGAATTCTATCTCGATTTTCATAGAACATTCTTATAAGTGGTTTTAAAGTTGATGTGAAATAGGTCTTGCTCTTTCTCTAAAACTGATAATATATATTTTGACCTGGTAAAACTGATAATGCATGCAATGTTATTTTTTCCAAAAAGTTTTACAAGCACAAAATGATTAAGAAGAACTGTGCATTGTGGTGTTTTCAATTTCTTTATATTAATTGATTGATTATTGAATGAATTCTTTGACTCAGGAAAGAGAAATTACAATCAGTGAATCAGGTATTAAAAAAAAATTAATTATGCTAAAATTCATTGATAACTTTGAAGGGTTTGCAATAACAAGTTTTAAAATAAGAAATAACTTTACATAAAAAAAAAGAAATAACAACATATTTTTTATGCTAACTAGTAATTACTTGCAGTTGGAATTTCATGATAATTAAATTTTTTCTGGGGACTTTATGCCCCCAAAAAAAAAAAAAAAGACCATTGCCTGCCATTTTTTTTACATGTTAAGAGCGGTAGAATTGGAATATATCACGACCCTAAACGCGAAATCCATCGGCTAAAGTCAGCCTAATTCTGACAAACTTCAAGGCATTTTACTCCAAAACCCTCAGAAATTACTTTTAATAATTCCTCTCATTCCCTCTCTTCCTTTCTCCCTCTAAAATTAGGACACGATCTATAAACACACTCAGATCTAGGAGGTGCCCGCAAATCCTCCTCCTTTTCATGATCCTCTGTTTTACTTTCGTCTCCTGTTGGAGTCTTCTCAAGCTGAAGGCTTTATAATCAGCTTTTGCCTTCAAATTATCGCGTAGTTTTGAAGTTTAATGTAGAGCTCTCTATCCGACGGCTTTGTTGTTTAACGTCGAATCAGTGGTTTGCGTTTCTTCTTAGAGTTCGATTTAGCTGGGTGGGGCTTTTGTGATTTGCTGGTTTCTTCAGGGTGTTTGATTGACTTGGGTACCGAGGGAACTGATCTTGGGACGACTTGATCCTTGAAGATGTTGACGAAGTTCGAGACCAAGAGTAATAGAGTAAAGGGACTGAGTTTCCACAGTAAGAGACCGTGGATCCTGGCAAGTCTTCACAGTGGTGTGATCCAGTTATGGGATTATCGCATGGGCACTCTCATTGATAGATTTGATGAGCACGATGGACCTGTACGAGGCGTCCACTTTCACAAATCTCAGCCGCTGTTTGTCTCTGGAGGTATTTGATTTACGTTTAATTCCTTTTTCCTTCGAAGTTGTTACTGCGAATCAGATAATTTAAACGTGTGAACATGCTTCTTTGATAATCTTGTTGATATTGGGGGGAACTTCGTGGGTCATATTATTTTGATTATTTGAAGACTTGTAGATCTAGCTTAGTTATTACTACTTGTTGCTCTTTTTAAGAAAAATCAAATATGTAAAATTTGAACTTTAATATACACTTCCAATTACTATGAGATCGAGGTTCAGGTCGAGATTACAATACTAGACCTAGTGTGCCGTTCGGGCGTGTATCTGATGACAAGGTTGAGATCGTTATCAATTTACTATATTTTTGTATGCGATATGCGCATATCAGAGCTTAATATAAAATACTTGTTATTTGACTTCTCTTGGTTTGGTTGGATCGCTTCATAAGAAATCTTCTTGATTGATTTGTCTCCTGGTATCTAAAATTGTGAATAGTTTTAATTGTGTTTCACTATTAATGTTGATCCAGTGATTACTTAAATAAACTCAGAATATGGATGTTTCTCTGCTGGGAATGCTGTAGAATGAGAAATGTTTTTGATCGAGAAGAGTTAATCTCTTCTCATCAATCCCAATTTAATGATTATGGGAGTTTCTATCTGTTTTTCTTCTGGCAGGGGATGACTACAAGATAAAAGTTTGGAACTACAAGATGCATAGGTGTCTGTTCACTCTCTTGGGGCACCTGGATTATATACGTACTGTGCAGTTTCATCATGAGCTCCCATGGATAGTGAGTGCCAGTGATGATCAGACTATTCGTATTTGGAACTGGCAATCACGTAACTGTATATCTGTCTTGACTGGCCACAATCATTATGTAATGTGCGCATCTTTCCACCCTAAAGAGGACCTCGTTGTTTCTGCCTCATTGGATCAGACTGTTCGGGTTTGGGATATTAGTTCTCTTAAGAAAAGGTCTGCTTCTCCTTCAGATGACTTGTTGAGATTCAGTCAGATGAATACAGATCTTTTTGGTGGTATCGATGCTGTTGTCAAGTATGTTTTGGAAGGTCATGATAGAGGAGTCAATTGGGCTGCATTCCATCCCACGCTTCCTCTTATTGTCTCAGGAGCAGATGATAGGCAGGTTAAAATTTGGAGAATGAATGGTGAGCCTCAAAAAAGAAAATCTATGTAACTGCTCTTTTCTTTTCTCTCAGCTTTGCTATTGGATCTTTTACTGGATGCTTGTTCATAGTTGGCTTTTTTCTACTCTTGTCACCATTTTCTTAATTTATGATGAATATGAGGGTCTTGAGTCCCTTAAAAAGAGTGTTATAAGGATGTTGTTGGCTGAAGTTTTTGGGTGCAAGTAATCACATTCGCATTCTGTTTCTGTTTTTAACAATTATGTATATTGAGTAACTCCTTTATCTGTTTAATATGCCATTATTGTTGTTGTTGTTATCTTGGTAAATCATGCCATTATTATAAAACATGAGTAATAGAATTGCTTCTTATTTTGTTTACAGAGACAAAGGCTTGGGAAGTGGACACTTTAAGGGGACACATGAATAATGTATCATGTGTTATGTTCCATTTAAAACAAGACATAATCGTCTCCAATTCTGAAGACAAAAGTATTCGAGTGTGGGATGCAACAAAGAGGACTGGAATTCAAACTTTTCGACGGGAGCATGACCGTTTTTGGATTCTTGCTGCACACCCTGAGATGAATCTCTTGGCAGCTGGTCATGATAGTGGTATGATTGTCTTTAAACTGGAGAGAGAACGACCAGCCTTTGCAGTTAGTGGTGACTCTGTGCTTTATATTAAGGACCGGTTTTTGAGGCTTTATGAGTTTTCAACACAACGTGACACACAAGTGCTTTCAATTCGACGACCTGCTCTTAATCAA